GGTCTTAGCATCCTGCATGGAGGGGTGTATGACACGGTGGGTTTGACACGGTGGGTTTCTAGTGGGATGCTGCTTGGTTTGGGGCCCACTTTGCTAGATTGTAGCACATGGTGTCTTCAGACTTGGGTACTCTGTGAAAATTGCATGATGTTTTGTTTTGCATTGGGTGAATGCATACCACCTGCTCTCCCCACACCCTTCCTGCGTGGACTCACCCACTGGTGCTGAGCCCACCGCCACATGAGGCGAAATGGGACACGCACTGCCAGGATGAATTCCAAGTGGAGACCTCGTGCTTAAATTTAGCAAATCCTCTGTTAATATTCACACATGTGGAGTTTGAGCTCCCAACACTATGGGTGACTCATGTCAAGGAGAGGAGACGTTGAGTTTTGAAACGAAGGCAGTTTATGGGGGATTAAGTTGATGTGTGAGGGATCCGTGTATCTCTTACACGTGTCATAGGACCGTGACACACATGTCGTGTCACCACAGAGGGAGTCCTTGTAGAAGCTTTGTGTGGTACTGTCTCCTGTGGTAGTCGTTGTCAGCATTAAATATTCTCTTCAGGCCTTGGGGTGATTGGACTGTCCCAAGTACCTTTGAGAGCAGGGGCCTCCCTGTGCCTGCTCCCCGGCTGTCCCTGCTCTCCTGCAGGTGGTGCACACAGCTCTGGGTATCCACCAGGACAGGCTTCTAAGCTGACACGCATCTGTCGATTGTCTGCACTGGGCTCGCAGGGGGCACCCTGTGCATGGCAAGGTGCTTAACAGCACCCCTGGCCCCACCCTGCAGATGCCAGTCGCTGCCCCCGCATCCTGACAGCCAGAGGTGCCTCCAGACGCCGCCCCATTTCCCCCGGGGAGCAGCACAGCCGACTGAGCCCAGATCTGCTCTGTGGAATACCACAGGCAAAACTCTTTGACCCCAGCGCAGAAGGTTGCATGACCTTTAATGTGACCTGTAGGTGCAAGGCTTTCTAGAGAAAGGTACATACTCGGGCCACACTGCCAAGGACGTGCGGAGTGGTTGGCCTTTGTGCCCCCACCTTTGTGTCCTTTCATGTGCACCTGCCTCCTGGTTGCCTGCTGGCGCCTCCCCGCTCTGTCAAGGATTCTGTGCCTGCTCGACCTTCGAGGTACAGCCCGGTGGAGGGTGTACTGCGTGTCACCTAGAGCAGGGGGAGCTGGGAGGGCTTCCGGGAGGAGGTGCGGCTCTGGGCTTGGGTTCAGACCGAAGGATGAGGCAGAGGTGGTGAGTAGCAGGCTGGTCTGAGCAGAGGGAGCCCCTGTGTTGGGGAGACTTCCAGCAGCACTTGGGAGCATGTCCCGAGCCAAGCACGTGGGTCCCAGTGGCCACGGAGTGGCCCGGTGAGGTCCCAGGGGTCATGACAAGGCAGGCTGTTGTAGCTGTCACCCTGGATGGCATGCCTGCCTTCGCCGGGGTTGCCCTGCAAGGGTGACCCCGGAAGCCCCCTGGTGACTGGATGGTGCTGGGGGGGCAGGACTCAGCTGCAGCCCGGGGGCCGGCCCCGTCCTCCTCTGGGCCTCGCTGTGGGGCTCTACCACACGGCCCTTTGGAAGGTCACCACAAGCCTTCCTCAGCAGGTCCGGTGCGTGGGCCTTGTTAGTTGGTAGTCAGCCAGTGTAGATGCGCATTGTAACTGCGTAGTTTGGGGAGTTTTGACACACGTGTGCCTTGGAAACCACCCCCAGTCAGGGTGTGCACATCTTGATCTGGGTGCGATTTTCACCCTGTCTGGTCTCTCCTGGGGGCGCTTACCTCTGACAGCTTTTTCTTTCTCAACGTGTTTGTTCCCTAGCATCTCTTGTGATGCTGGCTACTCAGCCTTTGTGAGCAGTGGTTTGGTTTTGTTTTTTAAAATTGACATTCTTTTTTCTGCCTCTGCCTTAATTGTTGGGGGTCCCCAAAGGCCTGCCGTCTGTTTTCTATGAGATGGTGATGCCCTGGCCTGGGATGCACAGCCCATCAGACCTGTGCCCCAAGCCTGGCCCCGTCCACATCCAGACAGGTGTGCGTTCAGCTGTGTGGCGGCTGGAGGTACCTGTGCTCCCCTCGCTCTGTTCTCCAGGCGGACTTACTGGTCCTTTCTGTATCTGTTCCTGGCAGGTGTGTTCGGGAACGTCCGAGAGTGTCCACGGCACTCCTGTGTCTCTTGGTTCACACTTCTCCCAGCATCTCCTGCCTGCACTTGTGCATTTAGAGTTTGTCTGCTCACCCCACCCCTGGCTCCCTTCCCAGCACCACCTGCAGGTTCCAGACCCGTTGATCTCCAAGCCGCCACTTTCAGCGTGCTCTTAGCTGGGGGGATCTGAAGCCTAGTGTCCCTCACCTGTGTGGCGTGGCCTTGCTCCTCCCCCCCCCCATCCCACGCCTGCTTCCTGTCACCTTGTGGGAGCTGTCTTAGAAGCTTCCACCTGCTGGAGGACAGTTAATCCTCTAGAATTAGTCGCCCCACCCCCTTGGGGTTCCCCTTGAATCTTGGTGATGTGGGTAAGACAAAGATTTTTTTTTTTTTATAAAGATTTTATTTATTTATTTGACAGAGACACAGCGAGAGAGGGAACACAAGCAGGGGGAGTGGGAGAGGGAGAAGCAGGCTTCCCGTGGAGCAGGGAGCCCGATGTGGGGCTCGATCCCAGGACCCCGGGATCATGACCTGAGCCGAAGGCAGACGCTTAACAACTGAGCCACCCAGGTGCCCGACAAAGATTTCTTAAGAACACAAAATATCTGATAAATTGAACTGGATCAAAATTTAAAACCTTATCTTCGAAAAACACTGTTAAGAAAATGAAAAGAGCTGACTACAGAATGGAAACACATACTGCACAAAGTGTTTCGACCTGTTTATTGGTTGAGCTAGAGGCACCAGCTGCATCTTCAGGTTAACATTTTAGGAAAGACTGGTGAAATCTTCCTAGTCCATTTTTTGGTGTTCCTGAAAAAATAATCCACAAGTCGGGTTTTAGTGTAGAAATGAGTAAAGTGAATAAATGCAGACTGTTGGGTACGTTTCGCATCTGTCTGCTGTGGGCACAGAGGAAGGGGCAGTGTCTGCAGGCCTGGCCACCAGGTCACACTGCGCCTGAGACCGGAACCCCTCCGTCTGCGGTGCTTGTGCAGACTGCACTCTTCCGCGGTAGTGGGTCCCCAGAACCTGTCATTAAAATGCAAGCAACATCAGCGTTTGTAAACCCTGAAGACTGGTGAATGAACCAGTTTACTCTGTTTCTCATAAAACCTACCCCCAGCATTCCAGGGGGCAAACAGCAGATTTTTGCCAGGTTCCAGAAGGCCTGACAAACCCTTCAAAAACCCATTAGCCAACAGTTGATAGACACCTTTGACTTTTGGGAAAGTGCAAGTCAGTCCTCTTGCCGGCTCTGCTCCTATCCTCTCAGACGGCCGCCTTCCTGGGCCTGTTGTTTCCCCTCCTGCAGGCAGGGGACCAGGATGGGCAAGGAAGGGGCCCCGGCAGGTAGAGTCCAAATTGCAGGTTGTTTGCAAGGTGGGCTGCTCTGCGGACAGCTCCCCGGGAGGGTGTGTGTCTTGTGTCCGAGCAAGGGCTGATTCGGAGGTGCCTGCCGTGAGGGCTGTGATCCGAGAGGCCTGGACCCCGGCAGCCGCTCGGAGGGGGTGGTGTGCAGTCAGAAAGGAGGGTGAAGGGGCTCTCACGCGGGCATCTGAGCGGGGACTGGCCTTGGTTGGGTGAAGTGCTACAGAGCCAGTCAAGTGGAGAAAGCCAGCTGGGCTGTGGTCCCAAAGCCAGACCCAACTAGCAGCTCCAACACCGGCAGCACAGAAGCTGGTGGTGGAAGGTGGAAGAAATGCAGGCTGCCCGGAGGAGGCGGACGTGAGCCGGGGGGGGGCGGGGGGGGGGGGACAGGACTCCTTGGCACATAGATCCCCAGCGTCAGACGGACAGGAACCTGGAGCAAGAAGACCTCTTTGAGCAGGTGCCATACAGATGGGGAAGGTTCTGAGGAGCGGTGTGGTCCGCTGCAGGGGCAGCTTGGTTGAAGACTGGGGAGGTGGGCAGATTCTAGCTAGCGGTTTAAAGGGTGCTAAAGATGGGAGAGCACCTCCCTGAAGAATGCCAGCACCGAGGTTTGGGGTCGAGCATGCTGCCGGGCTGTGGACACACGGGGCAGCAAGCCTGGTTGTGGAAGAGGGGGTGCTGCCCCTGGTGCCGGGTACCCGTGTGGTACCTCTGTGAGCCCATGAAGGTCCTCTGTGGCGGTATGGGTGAGGAGGGAGAAGTGTGGGGCCAGCTCTCGGACCTCACAGTGTCTCTCTGGTCTGTGGCCGTTGTGAGGAAGCACCCAGAAGGGCCCCTCTTCGCAGACGCTGGCCTGAAGGTGCCTGGGCTCCCGGGTCTAGGTGAGGCTCAGTGGGATCCGCAGACTCCCGTGGTACCGAGCTATTTCCCCAGAGCTCTGGCTCGGCGGTGGTGCTCTGGCCACACAGCCTTGCGGGGGGTGTGCCCGTTGCCCCCCTTCGGACGGGAGCTTGGTACTAGCGCACGCAGGAAGTTGCCGTTTCTGCGTTGGTAAAACAGAAATGCAATAGTAGTTCTGAACAATTTCAGCGCAGCGTAGCTTCTCTGTAGGCCGGGAGTGACATATGGGAGACAGCGTTTATCGTTTGTAGGGATTCCACCAGGTTGCTCCTTGCCGTATGAACAGAAGCTTCCGTGTTTATGAATTGTTATCAGAACGTATCCCAAGTCTTAATAATCTCCCGGGTCTCCTCTCCTGACAGGACATCCCTGGCTCTTCCAGCCCTGTTTGCATGAGAGAGGCCCCGGGGAGGCGGAGCCCTGTAGGGGGGTGTGACCTGCCGGGAGCTGGGTGGAAGTCGCTAGCAGAATCGGTACCGGACCTCGGGCTCTGTATATCCCCTATGGTCATGTGGTAAACCAAGGGATCGTACTTCTTACCTTCCTAATTTGGGACCATTTTCATCTCTGTTTCTAGGGTGGTTCTGGTGCGTCTGGAAGGATGTAGCCACCCGGTTGTCATGAAAGGCTTGTGTGCTGAGTGTGGCCAAGACCTAACCCAGTAAGTACTGGCAGCTCTCGGGTGAAAGGTGGTACCTCTGGGTGCTTGAGAGGGGGTCACCTACAGATTCGAAGGGGCATCCACCTCCGGCAGCAGATGGCAGGCACCCTCCTTATCTGGCAACTCAGGTCTGTCTCCCAGGGAGGTGTCCTTTCTGGTTAAGTTCTGAAAGCGCTGGGGTGTGTCTGATGCGCACCCAGGCGTAGTGGGTTTGCTTTTCCCTTGCAGCCAAGCAAACTGTGCATCCGCGGTTGGCCTGCACCTCACGGCTCCCAGGTCCGCCCCGGCCCCCCACCTCGCTGCCTGGGCTCCTTTACCACCAGCAGCAGGCGGTCACCCTCATTAGATGTGCAGAGCAGTGTGGACTGTCCTGTATTTTCTTGTTCCAGCGTGGCCATCACAGTTCATTTCCGGGAGATCCTCGTGAGCTCTTGGTGAGAGCTTTCCTGTCTGCTTTCAGACAGCAGCTGCCAGCAGAGTGAGGTCGAGCATCACCTGAAGCGTAGATGAGAATCTTACCCCGCAGTCCTGCTCGCATTCTGTGCGTACTTGGTCAGTTCCAGATGTTCATCTCAGTGTGCCTTCTCTCGTGTGCAGGCTGCAGAGTAAGAACGGGCAGCAGCAGGTGCCTCTGTCCACGGCCACGGTGTCGATGGTGCACAGTGTCCCAGAGCTGATGGTGAGCTCCGAGGTAAGGCCTGCGTCTGGCAGAGGCCAAGTCTGAAATTTCCTGAGAACAGCAGGGAGTCTCTGTGGGTCTCTCTCACTGTGCAGAGGGCGGCTGGGGAATGTACCGGGCCTGTCAGCATGATGGCTTCTGAGACAGCCCCTGGGGAGACGGGCGGTTTGTGTGGCACATGCTTTCTGCCTGTGGTACAGAAGGCTGCACGTGTTTCTTTCTTTCCCAAAGGGGTTTGCCTCCTGGGGAGATGCTGGCCCCACTGCCCCTGAGTCGGGAGCTCTGTGGGGGGCTGTGGCTCGTGGTCCCCTGGCGCAGAGCGGGAGGCTGACAGACGGGAAGGCGGGAAGCCACTGGAAGCTGCAGGGGTGGGGATGAGGGGAGGGCATCGATGCCCTGTAAGAAGAGTGGTAGGGCTGAGAGCAGGTGGGAGCGGCCGGCTGTGCACGAGGGGCAAGTGTCGGGTTTGAGAGGCACTTGCCACTGGCAGAGCTGGTGGGGTGAGGGGGCAGGGGGGGACGTGCTGCACAAGTCCTCGCAGGAAAGCACGCAGAGCGGCATCCGTGGGGCGGCAGGTGTGTGTGCTCAGAGCAGTCTTCAATTCTCATGCATTTTAAGAGTCTTGCGGGCAGTGTTGGTCAGAGGCGTCCTGACACCTCGTTTTCATGGGCTAGGGATGCGGGGGGCGGGGGCGCAGGCACCAGGACGGAGCCTCCCACGAGTGATGTGGAAGCTGGGCTCTTGTCTTCCTGTGAGGCAGTTTCAGAGCTGCCCGTTTTTGTAAATGGGGAGATGTTTCTCAGTGTTGTAATTCTGTCAGATTTGTGCTTTTGAATGATACATACCCGCTTTATTTTTCTGTGGGAAAGACAAAATGCCGATACAGGATTCTGATTTTCCTGAATTACTGGACTTTAACCAAATGTAAATACAGAAGAGTATCTGAGTGAGAGAGACGGAGACACAGACCTGGGAAGTTGGGGGATAAGAAGAGAAGAAAGGGTCCCCCATTGTTCCTGCGGTGACAGGATTACCGCTGGTCTGTGTCCGTAGCCCCTCTCGGCGGCAGACGCAGCATTCTCGTGGCTGACTTGAGCAAGACAGGCGCCTGTCTGTAGCAACGGGAGCTGAAGTGAGGAGGCAGAAGTGATGCGCACCCCGAAACACGGGCTGCTGGCCGGGGCCCCTTCCCAGAGGAGAGTCCCACGCTGGCCCCATAGGCCACGGTGTGCCACACCGTCTCCAAGACCCACCTGGGTCTCTGCTGAGGTGAAGTGGCATCCCTGGGGGGCTGAGACGGTGCCGCCACACCCCTGCCGCCTGCCTGTTGCTTCACAGTTGGCCGTTTTCCTCCAACCTCAGCTTCCTGCCTCTTCCTTTCATTCTGCAGCTCATTGCGTTCAAACAAACTTGACGAACTCAGCTGCTTTCTTTCGCCTCCTCTTTCATTGGTTAACACGTTAAGTTACAGAATTACGATCAGAAATCCTCGTGTCCTCAGCAGCCACAGGACCAAACGGAAGTGGCTCGGGAGGTGGGGGGGGTGCAGGCCGTGTGGCCCCCGGGTGCTGTATTAGCACACGGTGGGGCTGCCCTCGTGCTGGTGCGGAGACCAGCAAAGAACACCTCTCCGATGCCTTCTGTTTTTCCTGACAAATTTGGATTTGGTTTTGGATCCAGATACACTTATTTCATGGTTTTCCTTTTTCCTTTAACTTTAGCAAGCTGAGAAGCTGGGACGGGAAGACCAGCAGCGGCTGCATCGAAACAGAAAGCTGGTGCTCATGGTGGACTTGGACCAGACGCTGATCCACACGACGGAACAACACTGCCAGCAGATGTCCAACAAAGTGAGCGCTTCTTGGGGCTGGGCAGGCTGGCAGGGACAGGATCCCAAGGCCCATGCTGCTGGGGTTGTGTCCCCGAGGCTGGTCCTCACTGGGAGGCACGGAGCACACTCCCACCTCCTGGCTCACTCGGCCCCACTATTGCCAGGTCCACACGTGGCCGAGTTAGTTGGGAGGGTTGAGGGTTCGGGACCTGGAAGACCTGAGTCCCGGGGGCAGACAGCGGGGTGGACAGCAAAGGAGGAACAGCCTTGGTGGGGACGATGAGCTGGTGTTGGATACTTCCAGGAGTATCTGAAATATTGGGGGTAGGGGTACAGATGGGTCCTGGGTCTGTACTCGAGAGACTGCAGATACAGGGTGGGATTCTCCGGGGAAATTAATTTTTCAGAGAAAAGTAAAGGGTCAAGGACAGAACCCTATTTAAGTCCACATTAAAACTCTTCCCACATTCCACCTCTTTTCCTTGGTATGGACCCTGAGAAGCTGACTTTCTTCTGGCCCCTTCAGAAGGCATTTACAAATTCCTGTTACAGCTGGCTCTCTGAAGGGTGAGACCAGCTTATACTGTCATTAATGAATGAGGCCCCACCAACACAGAAACAGTCATTTTTAGAATTCTTTGCCGTTGGGCAGTCGATGCATAGACTCTATATTAGACGTCAGGTCGTCAGCATCTGCAGATAGTGGTTTCTGATGGTGGCTGAGCCCCGTGGGAAGGCCTCTGACAGGAGTGCTGAGGCCAGGCCGGCAGCTGGGGGTGGAGGGACAGGAGAGGTTTGGTCACAGCATTCAGTGACAGCTGCGTGTCATCAGGGTTTTGTTACAAACTTGGCCTGAAAGAAGTTTGGCTTCGTAAACAGACGCAGTGATAGCAGCGTCCGTGGGGACCGTCTCCATCAGTCCCACACGCAGTGGGGTTCTGCCTCCTTACCGCACGCTGCGGACGGTGCGGGGTTGTCCTGACAGTTGTGAGCAGTGGAGTTCTTCTCACTTGGGTTCAGTCCCGTCTCCCGTGAAGCAGCGTGTGCTGCTGAGCTGCCTCAGCCGTCTCTGTGTATCGAGAGATCCCGTGTGGGTGTATGTTTGTGTGTGTGACGTGAAGTGTTTGGAAGTCCTTCGAGGTTATTTCATTTATGACAACTACCCTGCTTTGCGAGTGTGTTCAAGAGCCGGGGGACTTGGTGTAGACAAGTGCCTGCTGCGCGTGTGTTCCCGTGTGTGAATGTGTTCAAGAGCTGGGGGACTTGGTGTAGACAAGTGCCTGCCGCGCGTGTGTTCCGTGTTTGTTGCCCCACCTGGCTGGGGGTTTATTGTGCCTTTGAAGTTGGCTCTTTTAATTTGTTCCATAAAAGTGTGCACTCGCTGTGGCAAGCGTGTTCCTCGCTTGCGTGATGTACAAGCTGAAGGCCTCCTCCGTCCGCGTGGACAGGCCTCGGCTCCGGCTGGCCGTGGTGGGTTCCGTTCTCACCTCTGCCCCTGCCAGGCACTCCGGCAGCCGCTCACCACAGCTAGAAAGATGTGTTGCATTCTGAACTCTGGAGAGCCAAACTTGTGTTTTTAAGGACATTTCCACTGCACTTGTGGAGCAGGGGGACCGAGATTCTAGAATGCCACACTTCCACGTGTTTCCACGGAACAGCTGCGTCGTGAGAGGGCTGACTAGTTTAGAGCTAGCCAAAAGTTACTAAGGACCAGGGTCACTTACCTTTTTTTTTCAGTTCAGCATATTTTTACTGAGGAAATTAATGATAAACAGGATTAAAAAGATCAAAGTTTAGCTTCCTTAGGAAAGTAAACTTACTTGTTTGTTAATGACGTGTAAGCAGATTGCTATTACTAATTTTACGTGTCTACTGAAGGGGGTTTGGAATACCACGTCAGCTTTTGTGCTGTATTTGTGAGTTAAACCTGCATGTTGGAACAGTCGGGGAGCTAGACTAAATCACGTGGTTTACTCCTGTCCCTGCCCCGGGGACGCTGTCGGTGGGTCCCTGGACACCTGTTCTGGGTGACCTGCTGTGGTTCAGCTACTCAGCAGGAGTTTGTGCTTTAGGAACCAGACACGCACGCTGTCACTCAGGGACACTTGCTTTACCCCTCATCAGAAAAAGACCGCGGACAAAATGGTTAGCGTAAGGATCTGGCGACATCGCTGAAGCCCGTGGTAACAGGGTGGTTACCTCAGTTGTCCTTCAGCAACTAAGAAGGCACAGTCCCCTGCATAGTTACCGTGGGTGCTGGTCGTGGGTGGCTACCACGGGCGGGGGGGGGGGGGGCGGGCGCAGTCTGGAGGTGCCGTCCCGGGCGGCTCCTGCCTTCTCACGGGCGTGTGTGTTTTTCCAGGGCATCTTTCACTTCCAGCTGGGCCGGGGCGAGCCGATGCTGCACACCCGTGTGCGTCCTCACTGCAGGGAGTTCCTGGAGAAGATTGCCAGGCTCTACGAGCTGCACGTCTTCACGTTCGGGAGCCGGCTGTATGCCCACACCATCGCAGGTGGGTGGCTCAGCCCTCGGTCGCCCTGTATTCGTCGAGCATTGCGTGAACGTTGTCCACAGTGTTACTTCCAGTGACGCCCTTAAAGATGGAGGGGGAAAATCCAGCTCCCCCAAACTTGGTTCAGTCCCAGAGCTAGCCGTTGCTTCCCCAGATGCGTGGGCTGCTCGCGCTGCGGTCAGGGGCACGCAGCGGGCCAGCTTGGAAGTTGCTCAGGACTGCAGGTAGGTAGGAGAGGAGAACCCTCCTGTGTGAGCATACTTGAGGTTGTTCCATTGAGTGGTTTGGAAACCCCCCGGAGCCACGTTGCTGGTGTCCGTCTGTCCTTGAGCCCTGGAGCGCAGGCAGCCTGGCTGTGGCTGTCTCATTGCACGTGAGTGACGCGCTGGTTTAGTGTTGGTGCTGCGCTTGGGCAGTGTATGCACAGGCCTCCCTGGCGGCGAGGTGTGGCAGCCGGGGCAGCTCTGCCTGGGGACGGCAGGGCTCCAGTCCGCTCTGACCGTCCGTGGACGCTGGCCACGACACCATGTTTACGTTCATTCCAGGGTGGCCACGTGAAGTACTCTACGTTGAAGTGTTTTTACTGGTTGGTCTTGGCCTTTGTTGGTGGGGGAATGACTTCCGAATTCCCCTTCAACATATGGCAGCTTTGTAATTTTCATCCTGAGCACAGCGGCCGTGTGTTGAAGTCCGTCATCTTGTGTTTGCCTTTGTTGAGTGGCCGCCTGGTGTTCCCACTCCATGGGACCTGCACACCGGTGGTGTGGGCAGTCGACTGACAGCACCCCAAGCCGAAAGAGCGGTCAGGTCCTCAGGTGCCCCGTTTGGGCTTTGTCTCCTGGCCACAGGATGACTTGGGCCTTCACCTCTGGAGCTGTGGCGTCTCCCCGGATCTCCGTCAGCAGGGTCCACAGAGGGGTAGTGAAGATGACACTGAGTTAGGTAGAAGCGCCTGGGGGGTGGTGCGCCCTGGAGGCTGAGAGGACATTCCCGGGGCCCTTGGGGCAGTCTGCCTCTTCCCTGTGTCAGGCTGTGCTCTGTACCTTAGAATTCCCACATCCCAGCACATGCAGACACGTCACAGGAAGTACCCCTTGCCACAGGCCAGGAGAGCCACCGCGGCTGGGCAGCCGCCTCCAGCATCGGCAACAGCGTCACGCACACAAGAGGATTTGGGAGGAAGCCCGTGGGACGCGTGCCCCACGTGGCTTTGAGGTGGTTGGGCCTTCGGAGGGCAGGTCGCTGGCACGGAAAGGCGCTGGGGCTGGGGGAGTTGAGCTTGGTGTCAGGTGGGTGGATTTGCTCGTTGACAGAAGACAGTTGGAGGCCCTGCCATGGTTTTTAACAACCACAGTTTCTATAGCTTCCTCATCCTGTCAACTTTTAATTTTGAGTTACCATTTTCACAGGATGTATATTTTTAGTATAATTAGGAGAGACCTGTTTTGTTGGAACGATTAAGAGCTTGGGGTGCATTTCATTTATTTCATTGTAGAGACTAAGACTTCTGTGAGTAAGCTTCAGGTTTAGCCACCAAGTGGCATCAGTGTCCGTAGAGAATTTGCACGTTCTTTATTTAGTAAGGATGCGTGTTTGTAACATTTCCCGTCGGAGTGAGCGCTGTTAGTAAACGCGGATGGCATGGGGATCCCACAGATGTAAACAGCTGGAAGTGGCAGCCCTCCCCTGCGGCGTGGCGGGCCCCATGTGCAGACACCAGAGCACTGGGACGCCTCTGACAGGATGTGTGAGTCACATGTGTGGTCTCTGGGTCCTGCTGGGGAGGTGGACGGGAGGCTGGCCTGCTCAACGTGCTGTCTGACGGCAGTGGGCTTCAGAGGTGGGCCACCGTGTCACGTCTACGCACCGATGGGATGCACCCTAAAAAGATCTCCAGAGCACACGGTGGACTTGTCAGAGTAAGTGTGCGAGGCTGCCGGGCGCCTCGTTCGCCACTTCACTTTGCAAACAGCCGGAGGCACAGGGAAACTGAACGGTGGCAGAACCAGAATTCTTGGTCCCAGCCCTCATCTGTGCGTAGCGTGCTGGGTGGAAATTACGTGTTCCCGTGTTTATCGCCCCCGCAGACTCCACGCTCCCCGGGGGAGTAATACTGAGCTTTGTTTGGTCCTTGTCTTCTGTTCTCAGCCAAATTCCAGGTCGTGTTAAATTGAGCAGATGGTTAATGGACAGATGCCCTTAAACATGTTAAAAGGAACAGTAAGTGAGTCACCGTCCTACCAAGAGAGATGAGAGCGTCTGGTGCCAGAGTAGGGTGCTTAGTGTCCTGGTGTCGTAAACAGAAGGGGCTGCGCCATACACAGAGGAGGACATTAGCCAGTCACACGTGTGACCTTGTTCTGTCTTCTTTTCAAAGGTTTTTTAGACCCAGAGAAGAAGCTTTTTTCTCATCGAATATTATCACGGGACGAATGTATTGACCCGTTTTCTAAAACAGGGAACCTCAGGTACGTACCTGGCTGTGTTCATCGAGGAGGTTCACTGTTCAGTGTCCAGTGGAAAACACGTCAGACCAGCAGTTCTGTGTTTTTTCTCCCCAGTTCCGGCTTTATCTTCACAGCACTCAGAAGCCCTGCTGTCTTCTAGCCAGGCTCCTTCCTCCCCCAGCTCCCCGAGTGTCCAGGCCGTGGTGGGCTCCCTGGTGGGCTCCCTGGTGGGCTCCGGGGCACTCAGGCCAGACCCTCCCCAGAGGCCAAGAGTCTGGGGAGAGGGAACAGGAGCAGTGCTGGGGCCGGGGGGGACAGGAGGTGACAAGCAGAGGGACCCAGAGCTCCTGCGAGTACAGAACAACTTGAAAGAAGGTGGTGTTGCACCGTTGTATTTCCATAGGAGCTGGCCTGCTCTTGACCCTGTTTAGTTCATTCCCAGATCCAGAGTCCCAGTCCCATCTGCTCCTGGTTGCGTTCCCTCCCATCACCATGTCCCCTGCCCATCCTGCCCTCTGTGCTTTTACAGTGGGGCACCCCCACCCCCCAGTCCAAAGGTTCTTGCACATGTCCACTCTGCACAAGGAATCTCCCCATTTCTGCACCGAGAGGTAGTCACTCTCCCACACAGTACTCTGTCAGCTGTGACGTGTTTTCGTGCACATTGGTTCTTGGGGATAGCTGTGGCCTCTGGCCTTCCACTGGTGTTGGCCATCCTCGTGCTGCATTGCATGTTTCAGATTTAGGGTGTCCCCACACACAGGGACCTGTTCGAGGCCAGAGGAACCAAGAGGAGAATCTGAAAGTCCTTGCTTCGTGTTTGCTGGTTAGTGTCAGAGTGAGCACATTGATGAAGACAAAGGGAAGTGGGGGGTGTTGGCAGCAATGGATTCAGGCGTAGCTACCCACAGGGACAACGCTGGGGGGGAGCAGCGTGCTCCCCAGCGGGCGCAGGTGACCGGCCCATGGCTCGTGTAGGTACAGGCAGTGGGGGCTCTTTTCCCAGTTTTTATCTCCCCCACCTGGAGTTAAACGTGCCGGAAAGCATGGACCATGTAAGTTAGTTTAGCTGCTGCTTTACCTGTGGGAAACGGACTCAGGAAATAGTATTAATTCTGGACTCATGAACGTGTTTTTCTGGGTAGTTGTAGCCATTAGCAACTATAGGACTGAGCAGTGGCAGGCTGTCTTTCCGAGTTTATTTCTAGATCCGAGATGAAATCCGCTTTGAATTTTGAATGCTACGAGCCTATCTGAATCCCAGAATTGCAGACAGAAATAGAATTTCACAAGACCGTGTGAGAGTAGCAGAGTGTGCCTCCCTCTGTCAGGTGGCGAGCCCTTGCTAACATATTTGCTGACCCTGTACATTCTAATAACGTTTTTGGGCTTGAAAGAGACGCACAGGTACACTGCAGGAAACCGTTGTTTATTTCGGAGGGCTGAGATGCACGCCTTTACCTGGAAAGCCCTTCGCTGTGAGGCAGGCACCTGCAGACTGGCCCACAGCTCGTCACCCATATTTGTAAACCTACTGGGGTGTGGTCGTTCGTCAGCTTCCCAGGACGGGGACGCGGCCCCCAAACGCTGGACTCTGTGCTGCGGGCCCGTAAGGAGCATCAGACACAGTGGAGAAAGCCTAACTATGTTAATATTATTTTGTCTGGAAACTTTGAGAGTTTAAACGTGAGCTAAACAAAAGTCCTAGAGTGTAGTTTCCGTCTGTTTCTGACTAATCCGTGATCTGCTGGCCACCTGTACAAGATTATTGTGACTTTTAGTTGATTATTTTTTGTAAAGTGTGCTAGTTTTGGTGTTTTTACTTCTAGAAATCTCTTTCCCTGTGGAGACTCAATGGTTTGCATTATTGATGACCGAGAAGACGTCTGGAAGTTTGCCCCCAATCTGATCACCGTGAAGAAATACGTCTACTTCCAGGGCATAGGGGACATCAACGCCCCATCTGGGTCTCGGGAGTTGCAGGCAAGAAGGAAAGGTGGGTGAGGACCTTCTGGGCAGCAAAGGAGTAGTGGGCAGTGCTTCCCAGCTCTTTTGTGGCTGCTTTGTTTCTGTTTCTTTGTACCTCAGGCCTGGGCGTGTTTGTTTATAAGAATGAAACGCGTAACGTTTGGTTTCTGCTTTGGTTTTTTTTTTTTTTTTTTTTTTCTGAATAGTACTAACTTAAACATTTTCTCAGTTGAATGGAGGTTGAAGAATTTGCTTAATTCATTGTGTCTGAATCCTGCCTGTTGTCCTGGTCTCTCTGAAAAGGCAAGCAGGACAGCGGGAATTTGGCCATCGCAGTCCTTGGAAAGAGCGAGCTGGGGGCATAGCAGCTCCAGCTTGTTGGTGGTTGGCGCTGGGCCTGGAGCCTGCAGGGAGCCACATGGCTTAACCTGTCGGGCGAGCACGAAGCCAGAGTCTGTCTGAAGAAAATTGGAGGTTTTGGTGTGAAGTGTGTCTGGTGATCTCTAGTGTGTAAACACACTGTGTGAGGCCTGCGGGGAGTGCTACAGTCAGAGCTGGAGGCCCAGGCTGGGGCAGTGGGCCTGAGGGAGACACACTTCTCAGGGCAGCCAGAGCAGGGCTGGGAGGCCCCACCCGCAACGTGGAAGCCTAGAGTGTTCTCTTCGTTTCTAACGCATTGTAAAAACCAAGACAAAGTGACCATCTGTGGCCAGAAACCTAAAAATTTGCCCTTAACAGCCGGACTTTGCCGAGCCCAGGTCTAGGGCACGGTTAGAGCCAGACGGGGGGGCGGTGGGGGGAACCACCGTTGCTTTAACAAGAGCTTTCACGTTGGATGTTAAATAACAGTCACCCCTTTTCTTTTGTGCATACCTATAGTAAATCAGTCTCCGAAAGGTGCCGACGTCCCAGAACAAGCTCCGTCCGTCAGGGAGACTGAGGAAGGACGGCAGGTTTCTGGGGTTGAGCAAAGTAATGGCCTTGGGAAGCCCACGAGGGAGCTCAACGGGGGTGCCTCTCCACGGGGGGACTGGCCCCTGCCTGGGCAGGAGGAGGAGAGAGGCAGCCGGCCTACTGCCCGTGGCCCCTTGGCTGATGGCAAGGGCCCCCCAGCATGTGCTCAGCAGCATGATCGGACATTGCCGGAAAAGCGGTCAGCTCAGGGCCCGGCAGGCGGTGACCTGGACTTTGACCTTTCCAGCGATAGCGAGTCAGACGCCCAGTCATCCTCTGATGGTGAAAGTGGGGAGAGGAGGAGCCTGGAAAGGCCTCAGGGAGCACGAGATGCAGGAAAAGTGGCACAGCGGGGCGGCCCCCCTGCCCCAGGAGGGGAGAGGCCCACAGGAGTGAGTCCATGCGGAGAGTCTGCCCCAGGCTTGCATCCGGATGTGCAGGAGGAGGGTGAGCGGGACGGCCTCTGCGGGCTGGGCGGTGGCTCTGCGGATAGGAAGGAGGCCGAGACCGAGTCCCAGAACAGCGAGCAGTCGGGCATCACGGCGGGCGAGTCCCTGGACCAGAGTGTGGAGGAGGAGGAGGAGGAGGAGGAAGACGGGGATGAGGACGACCACCTGGTCTACCTGGAGGAGATCCTTGCCCGAGTGCACTCTGACTACTATGCCAAGTACGATCGGTACCTGTGCGGGGACAGCCAGGAAGCCCCCGACATACGGAAGATCGTCCCAGAGCTCAAGAGCAGAGTGCTTGCGGATGTTGCCATAATATTTAGTGGGCTGCACCCGACGAATTTCCCCATCGAGAAGACGCGGGAGCACTACCACGCCACAGCCCTTGGAGCCAAGATCCTCACGCAGCTGGTGCTGGACCCAGACAACCCCGACAGGGCCACGCACCTGATCGCAGCGAGGGCAGGTACGTGCGCCATGCCGGCCCGCCTCCTGCCGTCCTGCTGGGGGAGGGGGCGGACAGAAGACCCCCCGGGGTGCTCCCAGGGCCGGGTCCGTCTGCACTGGCCCCGCACGGCTGCTTGTTCCGTGCTGAGCTTTCAGAAGCCTTGTCCTGAATCAGTGCCTCGTGCGCGTTCACTCATGATCATACGTCCGTGTCGGAGTTTCTGTGTCTGCTTCTGTGCGTGTGTGCTGTCCGCGGGCGCTGCCAAGCCAGGGGGCAGCACCTCGTGTTTCCTGGCCCGCTGCCGCTGCGTGCTCCGTGTCGTCAGGCTCCTCCGCCTGGAGTGAGGGGTGCACGCCCCTCGGGTGGAGAAGGGGGGTGGGGAGTTGATGATGGAGCCCAGTTACATGGTCGTCCGTCAGCACACAGTTCAGCGGGGAGCGGGCAGCTAAGCCTCTGAGAAGACTGAGCACAAAGGTTCCAGCTGGAGCCACGTCCATCCTAAGGGATTGGGGCTGAAAATCACTGTAGGAACATCCCCCTCAGGCAGACTCCAGGGATTTCAGCCAAGAAAACAGCCCCTCGGTAACGGGCAAATCAGGAAGAAACACACATGGTTGCTAAAAAAAGACAAAAATAAAAACGAACGATTTTTTTTTTTTAAGTGGTTCTCACAAGCGATGGTGCAGGGTTTTCTGAACAAAGACTGTGCCTGGCGCTCCGGGCACTGCTCCTTCCCTGCCCACACCTGCTGAGCTAGGGTTTCCAGGTCACCGCCTCCTCGTGGGGCCAGCTTTCCCGGGAGGGCTGAGCCCTGTGCCCGTGTGTGGCACATCCTGGTGTGAGATGTGGGAGGATCCTCACTGGGAGGCGGGGGCAGGCTTGTTGCAGCCCTCAAGCATCCCACTCGTGCACTGAGCCCAGGGGCACAGGGAAGGAGGCACCTGGCTCACTCCTGCCTGGGTGCCCAGCGCCCTTGTCCTCCCTCCCCGATCCCAAAGTCACTGCTTGTTCACTCGGAGACGCGTGATGGCTGACCGTGCCGGTGGCTGGCCTGGTCTCTGCCCCCGTGGTCACAGCACAGTGTGGTCCAAGCCTGCGGTGGGCAGGACGGGCGTCCTTGCCAACTACCAAAGAACCTTTCCGACGACGCAGACATGTGCGCGTCAGGGACACACCCACACGTCCCCCCGTCCTCTGCTTGGCCTGCTCATACCCCAGCCGCTGTGGCCGTTGCCCTTCAGGGGGCTGAACTGGCTGCAGTAACAGGTGACCTTGGCAGAGGGGGCCGGGTGGGGCTCTGAGCCCACAGCAGTGGCGGGGCCTTTGCCAGTGCCGAGCCCGTGGTCCTGGGAAAGAGATGTTAGGCAGTTGGCTGCAGGTCACAGAGGCAGTGGGAGACTTCCCATGAAAATGGATGGGTGCCTCTGGCTGTTGTGGTGGGGTCCTTCAGATCCCTGCCCTCCCTGCGGGCCTGCCAGTGGGTCCAGTGAGACTCCACGGCAGGTCACCGTTCTATGGGGCGGGCCGGGGGCAGGCAGCACTGGTTGGACAGTGAAGTCCTAGATTCCAGACACATAGTGTGTGCCAGGCAGGGTTCAGGGCCCAAGTGAGTGATTCGAGGCTGCCACGCGCCTGCAGCCCGGGCTGCGCTGACTGAGGTGGTCTCCCTGCAGGCACAGAGAAGGTGCGCCAGGCCCAGGAGTGCGGGCAGCTGCATGTGGTCAACCCCGACTGGCTGTGGAGCTGCCTGGAGCGCTGGGACCGGGTAGAGGAGCAGCTCTTCCCGCTCAGGGACGACTACGGCAGAGTGCAGAGGTAAGCACCACACCTGCACCTGCCTCCCACTCCCCACCCTCAGCACGGGGCGCCGGCCCGAGGACACGAGCTTCCGTCCCCGCTGTCCCCGTGGTCCCCGCGGCCACCAGGGCCAGGTCCTCCCCACTGGCCCTCCCAGCCCTGCAGAGCACAGACTGTCTAAAACTCCATCGCCATCTCGAAAAGTCAGTTGCTTTTTCTCCCAACACCAGCAGGGAGGCTCGGCTTGCCTGCGCTTCCTTCCTGGCCTGGGGGCAGCGTCCTGGAAGATGTTGAGGCTTCTTGGAGTCTCAGTGGCCAGGGTGACAGTGACCAGAGCGAGGGATGGTTGGGAACCTGGTGGGTCAAGGTGGTTCTGTATGTTTGTGGGGGACGGTCTGTTCTGCTGAGAACAGCTTGAGAAAAATGCTTCCTGTTCTTTGTCAGACTTTGGCCGTTGTGTTTAGGGGTAAAGTTCTGGAACAGGCGTCAGAGGGACGGTGATCGCAGACTCCAGCTGAGGCCCCAGGCAGGCCACAGGGCACGCACTCTTCTCGTCTTCACCTGGACGGGCCTTCAGCTGCATCTGGGCCTGAGCCTGTTCCAGCGCTTTCTCACGGCCCTTGTTCTGGTCCCGCAGGGAGGATGGCCCAGCAGCCTTTCCTGACAGGCAGGGTGCGCTTCCGACTGCCTTGTTCCACCCGACGCCCGTCCACCCCAGGGCCCAGCCTGGGCCAGAAGTTCGCATCTATGACGCCAACACGGGCAAGCTCATCCGGAAAGGTGCTATGGGCCCCGGGCCCCCTGGCTCCCTGGCGGTCCACACGGAGCACTCCTCCTTCAGGTACATGGGCCTGGGAGCTGTCTTGCAGCATCAGGGTGCCTCTGAGCGCCCTGGACTACCACGCTCACTGAGAGCTGACCAAAAGCGGTGCTGGTGGGACGTGCAGTTGGGGGTTTGCTGCATCCTGAGCTAGGGCTGGGCTTCCCCACTGAGGCATTGGGCCTCTTGCATGTTCTGTCCTGTCCTGGTCTCCAGCACTGGAACAGATAGGGCTGGGGTCTAGCCTGTGAGATGTCTTGCGTGTGCCAGACACGCTCTCACGTTGGCTCAGGCTGTCTCCAACAAGCTGTTCCATCTACAGACCAGACCTGCACCCTGATATCGGCCCACGTCCCCCCAGCAGGAAACCCTCTGTGCCAGTGCCCCCTGGTCTGTCCCTTCTGCAGGGTGGAAGGCAGCGGCGTGGGGTGGGAGGGCCAGAAGACAAGCCAGCTCTGGGCCTCCCCTGGCGTCCCGTCCCACTCCCTTGCCCAGATCAGACCGAGGGAGGGGGTAGCAACAGGAACGTAAGGGAAAGAGTCCTTGCCGGGTCAGTTCTGCCTTCTCCCTTCTGAGCTCTAAAGAGGTGTAGACGTTGATTTCATTCAGGACACACTCTGTGTCCGTTCCCTTGTCCTGTATGTTGTGAGTGTTCATTTTTATGGCTGAAATGTTCCCTGAGATGTGAGCTCACCCCAGTTTTGAGGCTCCTGCATTTGGAGGGAATCCACGGGTGTGCAGGATGGCAGGGCACTGTCCTGGGGGTCCTGAGGGACATGCTGATCTCCCTGCTCTGAGGCGTGAGGTGTTGGACCAGTCTGTGTGGGTGCAGGTCAGGGGAGCCACTCCTGTGAGGTCTGGGGTAGCGACAAGGTCACAGTTAGTGGAGATTCTAGAGGCGCTTCTGACAAAGTGCCTGTCGGGAGGCCGTCAGAGGGACTCTGGCCCCAGCGGGAGGCCCGAGTGACAGCAGGAGGAACGTGCAGCTCCAGAGCTGTTGGGGGCGGACAGCCGGCTTCTCGGGGCTCTCTGTGGCCGGGGCAGTGTGAGGGGAGACTCGCCTCACTCCAGCACCTGAGCTGTGTTCCAGGTGGAGACAGGTGTGAATAGATGCTCCCAGGAGGGGAGAGCTGGGTGGAACGGCGCGACTTAATGCAGGTCGGCCGGTGAGCTGCTTACAGCTGGTGATCTCAGTGCCGACCGCCAGGGCCCAGGACGGAGGGCACTCATCCTGCTCGAGGAGTGTGCATGGTTCCGCACCCCCTCGACCAGCCCTCCCCCTGGGAATGTGCCCCTGGGGTGTGGCTGTGGCGCATGGCATGCCTTTCATCAGACTAACCTGCTCTTGCCAGAGATGAATAACCAGAAAAGCTGTGGTTGGGAGGCACTCGGCTCAGCTTGTGTGGAGCGAAGCCAAGCACACGGGCTCTGGGGACCGAGCTTGGGGTTGAAGGGGTCGGCACAGCTGGGATTTGGGACAGAGTCCCAGAGAGAGGGGGACAGAGCCTTTCAAGTAACAGTGTTGCTGTGCTCGTTGAAGTAGGACAGGCAAAACAGGTGAAAGGTGGAGAATGTCAGCCAGACTTGTAGCCAATACAGAAAGCAGAAGCAGGGGCGCCTGGGTGGCTCAGTCGGTTAAGCGACTGCCTTCGGCTCAGGTCATGATCCTGGAGTCCCGGGATCGAGTCCCGCATCGGGTTCCCTGCTCGGCGGGGAGTCTGCTTCTCTCTCTGACCCTCCCCCCTCTCATGCTCTCTCTCATTCTCTCTCTCAAATAAATAAATAAAAATCTTAAAAAAAAAAAAAAGAAAGCAGAAGCATGTTCCAGAACTGGAAAGTCGCAGTCTAAAGTTAACTGGAAGATGGCCTACGTAGATACCATGCACACTGGAAGCAGCAGAGAAGAATGGGAACAAGCCGGGGCAGCTGGGGCAGGTCAATGTGGGGACTTAATCTCTGCAGATTGCCCCGAGCTAGGGAGAAACAAATCCTCAGATCCCATAAGTTGTGACACAAGCTAGATAAAAGAAAACGAGATAGGCCGTCAGGACTCTTGACCCCTGGTCGTGAATTTGAGCTCCACGTTGAGTGTAGAGATTACTTAAAAACAAAGAATTAAAGCAAAAACGAGAAGAGTATACGTTTTATACGTACAGTGTAAGAGTAAACATTCTGTGCCGTTAACCCTTAATAGTGACACTGGTGTGAATGGGATACGATTAAAATGCTCCTAAACGTTACACAGCATTACCTAACATGTATACTTACATAACAGGTCAATTTTACATCTTAAATGCGAGTGTTTATACACAGCAGAAAGACAAAAGCAGTTTGTCTTAATTGCCACAAGTACAACAGGGTTAGTAAACTTCGAACATTAACAGAATCGTCTGAGAAAGAGACTAGGCGTTTGATACCACTCGGGCTGTGGACAGAGATTAACATCGAGAGGCAGCAGTGGGTGCCGTGTGGATGGTGTGCGTGCACAGGAGGGGTGAGCAGGGCCCGGGTCTCCTAGTGGGATGTGAGCCGTGGAGAGAAGGGAGGAGGAGGGAGGCAAGAGGGTCCCAGCGGGTCAGGTGGCAGGGCCTCCACTTGAGAGGTGACTTCTCGGGTGCTGGCAGGTGCACGGGGACAGCTGCTTCGCCGTGGCAGAGCTTGAGAAAGCCCGCGTAGCTGCAGACGGTACAGGCCAGAGGGAGCAGAGACGAGGTGCCGAGCCAGGCAGAAGCTGGGTGCTCGTGCGGTGGGCCTGCACTTCTCTCCTGCCAAGAGAGTTGCTTTGTGGAGCTGGTTGTATTATGAGCACAGGCAGCTCGGCTTCCTCAGTGGTGTCCTGGGCAGAGCCTCTGTGACCCTGACGCCAGGGGATGGGCTTGCAGAGACCCTGGTGCGCATGTGGGAACGCTGCTGGGCACCTCCTGAGTCTTGGCTCAGGGACACTTGCTCAACGCAGGTGCCAACACCGGGTGTTCTGCTTGTGCAGGAGACTCGTGGACGCCGGGAAGAGGTGCAGGAAGGTGGACATCTGCACCCTGTGCTGGAGTCTTTGGGGACGTGGGGTGCCACACTGGCTTCTTTCCTCACTTCACGGTTCTCACTTCACAGGTGTTTATACAGTTGGGCTGGGGGGGTTCCCCTGATTTCTTGTCCTTTCACGTGGGCAGTGCTGTGGCCTGTACGTAGATATCCCAAGCACCGGACTCAGCCAAGGTCATGTGCTGTCCCTGCGCCCTGGGCCGATGGATGGTGGTTTAGGAGGAACACGGACTGTGGGTTGGGGTGGGGGCTACAGTGGATCTGCACCTACCGGGACCGAAGGCCCAGCCACAAAGGTGAGAGTGTCTCCCGCCTTCCAGAAGTCCTGCGGCAGACAGCCTTCCGTTCGTGTCTCTCCTCGTTGACTCGAGTTGACAGCCTCCCGGGCCCATCGCCCAGACTGACCCAGACAAATGAGCACTGAGAGCCGAACAATATCATGATTTATGACAGTGGTGGCGGGGGCTTCTGTCACAAGGATCTAGAACTCCCTCCTCGAGGAGGCGCTGCATTGCTGCCTGGACGGTTGTGTGGTTCAGATTCTTTCCGCGGGTGACATCGTGCAGGGAGTTACGGTCCGCATCCGTAGGTGTGGAGGACAGGACAGGGTGTGTGTTAAAAGCACGGATCACAAACCAGCACCTGCCTCGCAGCTTACAGTCCTCTTACGTCGTCGGAAGCCGTCCCAGAGTCCGTGCTGTGCTGATATTTCCTTGAGCGAGTCCTGGTTTTTAGAATCTTGTTTTCATCTTGTTGGAAATTAGATCACGAACCTTTTGAGTTAATTCTCTAAAGCGTACAGAACAAATGTCTGGAATGTTTAGAAGTGGGGTTCAGAGATGGTTTGGGGATTATTCAGGCTGGCTCGCAGTAAGTGGCAGTGGGCCAGGAACCTCCGAGGTGTGGGAGAAGTAATTAAATGTTGTCTGAAAACACTTGCAGATGGCAAGCTGAACTTGAATACAGCCGAGTGCCGCTGTTTTACATAGAACACTAACAATCAGGCAACAGATAACCACCTATTTGTTCTGAAATGCGTGTAATTTCTGTGAACAGCGGCACTTTGGCTTGAGAGCACGGAAGAACCGTTCGGCCTCGTCTTCCTGGAGGAAGGACGCACACTGCGGGATAGCGTATCTGGAGGTGGCTCTGATGAAGTTTTCTCTCTCGAGCTTGGAGGTGTGATTTCCCGCCCGTTGTTCACGGAATGGTGTCGGTGTGCCGCAGGATGGTAGCAGTGCTGACGAACGCACGTCAGTCCCGTGCGTGTGCTGGTGGAAACTGTCGCCTTCACTGTAGTAATTGTCTCTCTCTCCTTACTCGTGTGTAGGACACTATACGTTGTAAAACTGAGGAAGGAAATGACCCATTTCTGCACGAGGGGCGGCCCCTGTCTTGGCACCAGTCCAGAAGCCGGAGGCAAGAGGACCAGGCAGGCCTGGGTCCCACTCCCACAGGCGCTTGTGTAGAGGGAGAGGCCCCACGCCATTCATCGTTGCGGCATAGAGTAAGGGCGTCCTTTCTACGTAGAGCTAGAGCTCCCCGTTTCTTTGATGTCTCGTTGTACCCACACACGCCTGTGTCCTTAGTCCCCCGTCCATGCACGGCTACCCAGGCACCTGCAGGGCGTCTCCGTGGGCACTGTCAGCCCTCAGAGATGCAAGGTGTCCGGGCTGCGAGGCCTGCACCAGCCGCCTGCCCCTTCAAGGCTCTGGTCCCCCGTCCCTGTGTGTCGAGGGCTGCAGGAAGGAGAGCGCCGGGAGGGGTGGCTCCACCCCATTCTGAACCTGGAACCCCGCGCAGACCCCACTGTGACAGGGTGCGCTGACGCCGTTCTGTGTGCTTGTGTGACCGAGGCCCGGAGGTCTGTGTCTGTCCTCCTTGGATGGTTGTGGTTCTGGGCTGGGGCGCCGGCTCCCCTGGGGACTTGGGGTCGGAGCTCCTTGGGGCTCTCCTGCTGTTGCTTACGTGTTGCCAGGTTCTGCCCACCTCGCCCGAGGCAGGGTCGAAGGGCTTCCGCAGGCAGCGACCCCAGGACGTGCCTGGAGGGGAAGGTGAGAGGCCTGGTCCGCGGGGCGGGGGGTGCAGCCAGGACCACAGGCGCTCACCTCGCAATCAGTCTAAACTTACTCCCCTGCAAGCACAGCGTCCAGAATTCTGAATTTCTTTTTTTACCCATCATTATTATGTGCTGTTAGTTGTAAACATTTTGGGGTTGGTTTTTTTTTTTTTTTAAGTTTTATTTGGAGGTCACTGTAGACCCACAGGCAGGTGTAGGAAGTGAGAGAGATCCCATGTGCCCTCGCCCTGGTTTGCCCGCGGTAGCATCTTGCAAACCTGCAGCCCAGTCTCACCACCAGGGTGTCGGGGACACAGAACCGCCACCACCCCCGGGGCCCCCCGCTGCCCACCTCCCTCCCCCCCTCCCGTAACCCCCCAGCGACTGCCGACCCAGCTGCTCCCCGTCCTTCGGTCAGTCCAGGACTGCCGTGCACGCAGGCTCTCGCACTAGGCCCGGGGCCAGCTGCACTGTTGCTCACACGTGCTCGCACGTTCTCGTCCCACGGCCGAGCAGCCTCCTGGGTGTATCCAGCCCTGGCCCCCCCCAGAGGGCTGCTCTGAGCCTTGTGTCTGCGTCCATTTCTGCGGGACCGCTGCCCCGGCGGTGTACCTGCTGCACTGTGTGCTGAGTGGTGTGCAGTTTTCCTCTGGAGGAACCACCATTGCGCATTCCCGCCAGCAGGTGCGGTCCTCCCTGCACCCCACCCGCGTCTGGGGTAGACACCGCTCTTGACGGTAGCCGCTCTGTCGGGTGTGTGTGCGCCCCGGGGGGACACGCTGCCTCCTGAGCATCCTCCTCCGTGAAGCATCTGTGTGTCTTCACCTGTTTTCCAACCGGATGGTTGTGTGACTGCTGAGTTTGATCGTTGTTTGTGTATTTTAGGTATTATTTGTGAGCGGTGTGGCTGGAAGGTATTTTCTTCTCTGTAGCTTTTCATCTTCACAGAGTTGGGCAAAGCCAAAGTGTTTCATTTTGATGAATCAGGTGCTGTGTGTCAGTTTTCTTTTCGTGAATTACGCATTTGGTGTCAAGTCTGTGAACTCTCTGTGTGGTCCTAGACCCTAAAGGTTTTCTCTTATGTCTTAGTCTCAAAGTTTCATAGCTTTTATGTTTTATATTGAAGGCCATGATCCATTTTGAGTTTTTACACAAGGTGTGAGATTTTCAGCTGGGGGTCGGTTTTGCTCCCGCACTGTTAGCTGAAGAGGCGTCTTCCATCCGTTGCTTTGGTGCCGTGTCAGGTGTGGGGGGTCCATCTGTTTGGGTCATTTCTGGGTTCCCACCTGTTCCCTTGATCCGCGGACGTTCTTGCTCTTCTTGATCTTAAGGTGAAAGCATTCCGTTTTTCACCTTTAAGTATGATGTTGGCTCTAGGTTTTCTATAGATGCTCTTTACCAAGTTGGGGCAGTTCCCCCTCCTTCTTCCCAAGTTCCTGTGAGTTTTTATCCTGAATGGGTTTTAAATTTTTCAGGTGCTTTAGCGATAGTGATATGATAACATGGTTTTTCTTCTTTGGCCTGTCATTCGAATTATATTTCTCTCGCTGCTTTCAAGACTTTTTTCCTCGTCTTGAATAGTAAGTTTGATGAGGATGTGTCCTAATGTGGATTTAGCGGTTTATCCTTTTTGGATTCACTCAGCTTTTTGAGTCAGAAAGTTTAATGTCTTTCGCCAAATTTAGGACATTTCCAGCCCTTGTTCTTTGAGGACTTTTCCAGCTCTGCCGTGTTTCTCCTCCTCCTGGGATCGGGGACGCGAATACTGGATCTCGTTGTCCTCTTGCGTGTTCTGAACAGTCTCTTTTCTCCCTATTGTTCAGACTGAGCAATTTCTATTACTCCTCAGGTTCACTGATTTTGCGGTTTCTGCCCCTTCCTTGTGAGGTTGAGCCCATCCCCTGCATTTTTAAAAATTGTGCCTGCTGCAATGTTTTCATTCTCAAGCTTCTGCTCGGCTCTTTGTGTCTTCTGCTTCTTTGCCGGGTTTTCTCACGTTAACGTTTCGTGGGCCTGGAGTTCTTGTGGCGGCATCTTTTCCCACGATGCTCTAACATCCGTGTCAGGACTTCTGTCACCTCTGCCATCTCAGAGTTGACGTTTATTCAGCTTGAGACCTTCCTGGCTCTTGGTAGGACGAGTGGTTTTCGACCGAAGCCTGGACAGCTTCACATCACGTTGTGAGCATCGGGACCTTATTCAGACCTTGTGCTTGGCTGTCTCTGCCCGGCTATTCACCAGCCGCCCAGGTGGATGCAACGCCTCACCTGTGCCCGGCGGGGAGAAGTCCAGGTGTGCACTGGCCTCGTTTGGGAGCTGCGTGGGGGTGGTCATTGCTGCCGCCAGGCCGTGGGGGCTCCGGCTATCCCCCGGGGTCACTGCTGTTACCACTAGGTGAAGATGAACATCTGACCTTGACACCTCCCAGCCTGGACTGGGGGCCTTATTACCTGCAGGGTGGGGTGCTTGTCCAGGCTCCTGCCTACCGTGGTCTCCACGGGCATGGCATGGTGGTGGGGTGCTTGTTACAGGCTGGGTGGGAGGAAGGGTCCTGGCTCCCCACTCAGCCTTCCCGGAGACTACTGGCGGGGACACAGCTGGTGGTGGTGGCCCGCGGTAGAGTAGTGCCTCTCTCAGGCATTCCGGTCCTACGAGGCAGCCTCTCTCTGAGCTTCCCCTGCAGAGAGCAGCCTGCTCCTGGGGCTCTGTGTCTGCCTGTTGGTGTTTCACGTCGCCCGCTCCTGGTCCTCCTCCTCCGTCCATCCTCTGTGGTCCCCTAGAGGCCCAGGTCTCAGGTTGAGCTCCCAGGAGGGTGGCAGAGGCCCACCTGCCTGCCTGGGACTGGAGGTCAGCTTGCAGTGAATCCCTTCGTGTTTTATTTTCTCTTGCACTTGTCGTCCTGTTTGGAGGGAGCTGTGCGAGCAGCATGGTGTCAGGAACAGGGAGCTCTTTGTCCTGGGCGTTTTGTCCCCCAGAGCTGACCATGTCAGACATAGGAACTGAGCCTTCTGGGAGACACTCATTCTCGCATTTCAGAGTAACAGTAAGCCATCGCGTGTTAACATAGTATCGCGTTTTTAACAACATAGCCATTTGCCAACAGATAAGCGTAAGGAGAAGAGCGGCTTGTTTGTGTTTTTGTGGCTCTGGCTAAGGACGGTGCTTGCCTTCTGCCTCTGTGCCCACCTGCTGGGAGCTGCCCTTTGGTGGAAACACAGGACCAAGTTCTGCCGCCTCCGGTGTGGGGTGTTGTTGCTGAAGGGAGACTCGGGGGCCCGTGGTTTGGTGGCCAGTCCAGTGCCCTGTGAGGTGAGGAGAATCGTGCCTTTTCGAGGGCAGCGTCCATGCAGATGCGGCTTGGCCGGCCCACGCACCCTGACCGGCGGCCCCTCGGGGGGGTGGGGGTCACCCCCTGCACATTTCAGGTTTTGGTTAAAGCTGAAACCACTTTTCTGAAGGGAGACTGTAATGTACCTGTTTTTAAGGTACTTTGCTGTCTTCCCGAGTTGGGGCCGCCGGTCAGTGGGGGTGGCGGTGTCCTGGTGCCAAGGCGGGGAGCTGCGTGGACACGCTGGTGAGGCGTGTGCTCTGACGTTTGAGGAAGAAGAGGGCGGCGCGGTGTGGTGGCGCTTTATGTTCATCGAGGAGAAGTCTCACTTCCTAACACAGCTGCTTCTCTTCACTTACGGGGTTTGGACGTAGCACCCCGTTTTTCCTCAGAATCCTGAGGTTTTACTGCATCAGCGTCTCAGGGAGGGAGCATGTGGCTGGCGGTGGCCGTGGGGCCCGAGGCGTCCTCGTGCAGGCTCCGGCCCCAGTGAGCAGCCCCTAGAGCAGCCACTCGGGGCGGACCCGCCAGCCATGCACGAGCCCCTCCTCTCTGGAGGTCATGACATGCGAGAGCGTGTGCTTGGGTCTGGCGCGGAGACAGACGTGAGCGCGGAAGGCGCTGGGAGAAACTACCCGGCCGGCCTGGGACGGGCCCCAGGGAAGAGCATTGCCGCAGCACTCGCTGGTTTTTTGTGTTAATATTTGACTGTCTAAGAGAACTGTGCACTCGTCGTCCCGAATTGCCTCCCCTGCCCTTCGGTGGACGGCTGACTTCAGCCCCGTGCACCTGCTTCCTAGCGCTGCGCACTCTTTCTGTTCCAGAGAATACGGATAGAAACGGATAGAAACGGTTTGTCGGCTTTGTTGTTTCAGGAGTCTTGTGACTTGCTTGACTGTATTTGAGAATAAATAACATTTCCCGCTGGTTTCTAGGAAATTGTTCGGTAGCTCTTCACATTTTGCCCTTTGTTCTAAAACGAGGGAACCCGATGCAGCGGTGTTGTGTTGGCACAAGAAGGTAGGTGTTGGCTTCCAGCCGGAGGAGGCGTCAGTCGGATTTAGGGTGTCAGCTCTGAGAAGGCATAAGTAGGTGCTGTTGAGAGACATGGTGGGTTTTCGTGACTGAAATGCTCTCTGTTTGTATGTATTTATGTACCTGCTCCAAGAGCCAGGAGTCCTTCAAAGTGCCGTTCCTCACGTGGGACCTGTGACATTCATTTCAGAGTGGTTCAGCCGCCGCGGCAGATGCTTGCTCAAGAGCTGCCAGATAACCGACCCGGAGAGCAGCCCGGCCCCAGTGGACGGAAGCGACAGCCCAGCATGTCAGAGACAATGCCGCTGTACACGCTCTGTAAGGAGGACTTAGAGAGTATGGACAAAGAGGTGAGGCCCGCGGGCGCCAGCGCGCCGGGGGCAGGGCGCGGACCGCGCTCACGCACCACCCTTGGTTTCCCAGGGACGCTTCCACCGAGAGATGTGCAGCGGCCTTGAGTGACGCGTCAGGGCATCGGCAACGCTGGAAAGCCCGGCTGCGACCCACCGGTGGGGCCGACGGGCGAATGCTTGCCCCCGTCGTTGACGAGGGCCCGGCCTCGGGCGGGTGGGGCTGCTGGTGGCCTGCAGGGCCCAGCGGGAGACCCTTGCTGACCACCTGCCTGGGTCACGGCCAGCAATTCATTGTAGGATCTTACCGTTACACCACTAAATAGATTTAGGCCACATCGGTGGGGTTTTTGTTTTTTCAGATGCTTAATTGTGGGAATAAGGGTAATAGAGCCTGAGTCTATTTTGAACTGGAGACTGGATATGGTAGGGCTTTTCTTTCGGAACCAAACAGCACTAAGATAATTTTGTAAGTCTGTTGTCTGTCTCCTGGGTCGTCTTCAGAAATGACCGACGTTCACACGTCAGCCCATCCTGAGTCCCGCCGGCCCCCAGGCCCTGTGGCCCTCACGCCCTGCCCTAGGCCAGCGCCCTTGAGAGAGGGTCCCACCTGCCTGTGGGGGTCTCCGTTTATTTGTAGGTGGTTGTGCAGCTTCCGTGCAGAAAACCACATCACGCATCCAAGTGCACGTGGCCCCTTCTTGGCACTCCCGGCCAGCCCCTCGGCGGCCTCACTCTCTGCTCCGGCACCACGCCACGCTCTGTGTTCATGGCGACCACTGGGAAGATGCGTACCCAGCAAAACGTTTCTTAGTTCATTTTCATCCGCAGCAGGAAAATGTTACGCTCAGCACAGAATCTCACCAGCAACTCAGATTATCATCTTCACATGCTGGTTTACCTGATGACGGTTACACTTTGTTTGCAGATGTGCTGAATTCCTCTCTTTGCCATTTTTTTGAACATTAGCTGGTATATGTGCTGTTTTTTGTTTCATAAAAATGTTTTCTCCAAGAAAATTTCCTCAGTGCTACTTGTTTATCTCTAAGGGAGTTGCTGACCCCCGAGGGTCCGCCGGCACCTGCCTCCCCCGTCCCCCTGGCCGCCCAGCGACACTCCAGTGCTGGGTGGCAACGTGATTGTGGCACTCACTCCGTGTCAGAGGGGTGGGAATCTTACCGCAGAATAAAAGTGCTCACCTTCCGTCACTCTGAGAAATAAAAATTAGCCTTCAAGCCTTACATCTGGCTCCTCGGCAGCAGGAGGTGTGGAGGGCAAGAGCAGTCTTGGACTTCAGACCGGCAAGCACTGGGCTGTGCTGTAAGTGGGGCAAGAACAGAGGTCCAGTCCCATGCGCCCTGCCAGGGAGACCACAGCTGCGTTTGGGCACTGACGCTGGGCGCCCTGGCCGGTGGCGGCCGGAGCCGAGCCTCTACGCCTGCTTCTCTAACTGGATTCCCAGTTCTTGGGAAGCACGGTGGGCCACAGACTGCACGGTTTAGAAATCGGAAGCCGAGAAGCAGGGAAACGAATGTGCACAGCCCAGCCCATGTACGACGGGGTCCCTCTTGTCTGCAGTTCCATCCGGAGCAGAAAAGGTCCCCAAGAGCCACCGCAAGCAGCTGAGACTGGAGGGACAGTCCCGGGCCCCCGGCTGCTACGTGTGGTCAGCGGGTGGCGCGGCGGCCGCGGGTGGTCTCAGAGCGGCTTCGTGCCAGGTCACATGGGGATGTCCTGAACCGAGTGTGCCCCTGACAGGAGGGACACCCAGGTGTCAGAAGATGCTGTCGCCACCCGGTCCCCTTCTGAAACGCCCACGCCCAGAGAGGGTCCTAAAGCACCGTTGTCCAAGTGGCGGGAGACGCACGTCGGCCTCGCTGAGCACTGCTGGAGAGCAGACGTGCTGCCTCAGTGGACACTGGTCTTGGGCCCTTGCTCCGCGAGCTTGGAGAAGTGACACTCAGTCCTGCGTCTGCTTCGCTGAGTCTCACGTGGCGTGCCACACTCACACACGGCTCTGGGTCAGGAGGAGAGAGCAGACACTGTGAGATGAGGAGCTGTGCGACAGTCGTGCTTCAGAGAGCACCCTAGTCTGCGAGGCAGTGACCCCGAGGTCTTTCATTAGAGTAGAAGGGAGGGTGAGGCTTGCAGGAAATTCTGAAAGCTTTGGAGAGAATCCCAGGAAGCTTCCTAAAAACTGGAGTGGGTTGTGATAGAAAGGGTCATGTTTCCACCAGCAACATTGTCGGACTGGTTTTATTTTCTAACAGCCCTCGTTCTTTTGAGATAATTCAGGGTGGATTGCTTTTCCAGAGTTGTCCTGGTTTCTGTAGAAATTTGTACAGATTGGCGACCTGACTTAGGTGGCCTGCTTTTTGCATTTTTTTCTTGGATTTATCAAGAACATCCAAATGAATAACAAAATCTGTTTTGTATGAGTTCCTTCAGTGGTCTGTCTGCCAAAAACATTTGTTTTTAATACAGTTAGGTTCTAGGAATTGTGGGATCTGCCACAGGCCCCCTGGCATAATTCTGTATACGTATCAGGCAGTTCTCTCACTCAGTTCAGTAGTTGGAGGGTCCTGGGAAATAGGATTGAGAAATGTGAGATTACTCACCTTTGTCATGTCAGGAGGTCCCCATACCCACCTCTGCCCTGTCCTGATTCCCCCCAGTGCTCACCTCTGCCCTGTCCTGATGCCCCCTGTGCTCACCTCTGCCCTGTCCTGATGCCCCCTGTGCTCACCTCTGCCCTGTCCTGATGCCCCCTGTGCTCACCTCTGCCCTGTCCTGATGCCCCCTGTGCTCACCTCTGCAGTCACTCCAGGCCTCCTGTAGTTGTATTGAATCCGCCAGGGGGGGCTCTTCCGACGGGCTGCAGTCCGCATCGACAGGTGCTCCACAGCCAGGGTGTCCCACAGGGTGTCCCACAGTGTGTCTGTCAGAGGCCCTTTGTCTGGGACCGGACGCCTCTCCCAGCCCCCAGCAGCCGCAGTCCCCTTCGTTTCTGTCCCTGCTTTGTCCTGCTGCCAGAGTTCTCTGTAAACGCAGCTCAGCTCAAGTCCCTGGAGGCGCGTCTCACTGGTGACGAGGTACTCTGGGTACTGCAGGGCCTGCCCCTGGCTTCTCCGTCCTTGTCATGCACCAGGCATCGTGCCGGCATCTCAGACCATCCTTGCAAACCACGGTCTGAGACAGAATCTTCTGTGGACTGTTTCCAAAGAGTTCTAATGCCAGCGTGGCCCCCCTTATCCAGGGGATCACTTGCTGCAGGCTCGGGTACCTGCAGCAGGCCATGCTCCAGAGGCTGGGGGTCCTCCTCTGGGCGCGTGGTCAGATGGTCAGTAGTGGCCTGACGTCCTTCGCCCCCTTCGTGTCTCCCCCAGAGGAGGAAGAGCGGGAGCAGCGAGGTGAGAGGAGGTGCGGTGCTCTGAGAGAGACCACGTTCACACACGTCTTACCAGCAACGTGTCGCTGTGACGTTGTGTTTCACCGCTAGTTACTGGTAACCTTTCCCTGTCGATTCAGCTTTATCCTAGACACGTATGTATAGGGTTCAGGCAGCCCCTGGGGTCCTGCAGCGTACCCCGTGCATAGGGAGGGACTGCTGTATATGCCGTCTAGTGTGATTATTTCTGTTTTTAGTCCTGTTGGTGCCAGTTGACTTTGTGTCTTGTCATTCACACAAAGCAGAGCTTTTTGCCAAGACTCCGTGACCGCGGTCACCCTTTGCTGTGGTTCAAACACAAGTGGTGACACCGTGGGCAGTTTGAGCTCAGTGGCGGGTTCTGTCATGCACGAGATGGCGAGCCTCATTTTGTAGTACGGATGCTTTGGTTTTGTTGAGTTTGTAGGCTTGCTTCTGACGAGTGAGCACCATGTGTAAGCATAGTGAGCTCACGCCTCGTTCCTGCTTGTGTACGGTGATGCCTTTCTTGAGAGGAGGTGGGGCTCCGTCATGGGCCTGCTGTTGTCTGGAGAGCTGCGGTCCCACACGAGCTGACCGAAGTGTCCACAAAATGCACACGCACCAGTGTCCACGCGCAGGGTTTCATCCATTTGATTGGCTCTCGGAGGACTCGCACGATGCTGGGGAGCTGCCTGGGGGTGATGTCAGCCTGGTGCCGCACACCCCCACGTTTTCCCTTTTGCTTCGAAGCTGCACTCGGTGCGGGACTCGTGCATCAGGAGAATCTTCACAGAGTTGCTTTTCCCACCCCGGATGGCAGGTCTGCCCCATCTGGCAGCAAATACCGTTTTGCAGTTATATTCGGAATAAAACAGGCACCTTTTCTTTTGGCTTCAACGTGTTGAGACGAAGCAAGCTTCTTCCAGAAGCTACACGGACCGCAGCTTGGGGGGGGGGGGGGGCGCACACAGGTGTGTCTGTGGCACTGTTTTAGTTTGTGTTCATGGGTCAGGGTTGTTACTGTTGTTAACATGTTCGTAATGCTTTGCCCAAATTATGATCCTTGGGAGTAATGGAGTCTTCGACCTTGTGTGTGGTTTTTCACAAGGTGTCACTTGTCAGAGGTTGTCTGTTTTGTTGTAGTGAGGTGTTCTCGTGGATCAGGTTTATGCACGCGTGTCTCCATTGTAGGCAGACACAAGAACAGTGCAGAACGGAATTCTCAGTGTGTTTGTTCAGAGGCTGATGAGCACTTTTGTGGGGGGATGCGGGGGTCCTGGCTCCAAAGTGAAGGCCACCCGTCAAGTCGAAACATGCAAGTCTGTTCCGAAAGCGAAGGGTTTAATGTGTTCAGAGAAGATTTGCGTAGAGTCAGGTCAGTAGGTGAAGCGTTAGCCGTAAGTAATGAAGAGAACCAGTGAGCGGTGCTGCTCACACTCACTGAAGAAGTGCAGGGAAGCATCACGGATGGAGGAAGAGCAAACCACCGCTAGCCCCCGTGCTGGCCCAGGTGGGTAACCCCCGCCATGGCCTCCCCCAGCCTCCCCTGTACCTGCAGCCGAAGTCCATGGAACACAGAAAGGAGGCCCACTCGGACCGTAGAGCATGCAGTTCTTGATCAGGGTGGGGAGTCCGAGCGCCATGTTGGGCCTAGAGCTTGCTTTAAGGGGGGACCAAAAATTGAAATTTCAGAAAGCAAGAAGGAGCAAAGAGGTTCCTGAAAGCCAGCATGGGTGCAGCAGGGAAGAGCAAGCATGGTAGTGGGTGTTGTGGCATTTTTCCTCCTGTGTCCCCAGCTCTTGCCCTGATTTGGAGGCAGGGGCATCTCTCCCCCAGCTCCGCTCTAGGGCAGGCACCAAATGCAGAGGGTCTGGGGACAGGAGTCTGTGGCCCAGAGAGTATGGAGGCACCTTCCTCTACCTGTTTGCCCCGTGGGTAGCCCCGGCCATTCCATACTGTGCAACAGCTCAGAGGCTGAGAGGAGCACCCCAATTCTGTGTAGGAGCTGACCGAGCCCCAGGCTCACCTCCCAGTGAGATCCAAAGAGGCCACGGAACAGCATCACAAAGGCATAAAATTCACGTCGCAGTCCACAGAAGGAGGCAGAACTCTGTCTTACCCTCCCTCACCAGGCTGGTCGCCTGTTAACACAGACCCGTGTTCTCCAGAGACTCTAAGAGGATGTCCTGTTGGAGCTGTCCAGGCCCAGTCTGAGTGAGCGGCAGCAGACGCCCACCCCAGCCAGCCCGGACATCGGGGTTCTGAGACCAGCCCTTGCAGAGAGGCTCGGCGCCGTGCTCCCTGGGCAGAGGCACGCAGCCTTGTGGGGAACACACGCGATGGAGAACAAGCAACGGGAATTTCAGAACTGAGAAAGGCACGTGCTAAGCAAAGTCCCTGACGCTCGCCGGACACGCCCCTGATCGAGTGGAGGCGAAGAGGAAAGAGCCCACGAACAGGGCTGCCGAAACCACCCTGAAGACAAGCCGGAAAACAGATCGGGGGCGGTGGTCAGAGCGGCGGGACGTCCGGTCACTGTCAGAGCCATCACATGTGTGTCGTCGGAATTCCCAAGATGGGGAGGACATTGGTGTGGGACAGATACTTGGAGGAATGATGGCTGAAAACCCCCAGAACTTGGTCAAAGGCATAAATTTACTGGTTTCTGATGCTACAGACCAGTCTGGCCAGTCGTAGAATTTTGTAAAGCAGAGTGACGTTGTCCATGTCCTGTGTCTCCTCTTGGCCCCACAGCAGGCTGTGTGGAGAAGGCTTGCATTTGAGGAGGGCCCCACAGAGCGCCGGGAGCCCTTGTGTGTGTGCTCAGAGAGGACGCCTCCCAGTCAGGGACGCAGGGACAGCGCGCATGGCAGGACTCGGTGTTCATTGGCAGGCACGTGCACAGAAGAGATGGCTGGAGATCGTTCAGAGAATTATTTGAGGCTAGGTCACAGAAGTCTCTAATCCTAGGCGTTCTGTGCACATTTTATGAGCAGTAAGCGCTTGCAAAGGTTTAATTGCTTGTTTTCATGGCAGCCTGAATGTTTTCCTTTGTGTCTTCAGCCCTTTCAGCGGTCAGGCTTGCCGTGCAATCTCATTTATATGTGTCCAGCCTGAGCAGCCTCGTGGTCTCGCCAAGTGGACTTTCTTCCTTGGACTGGAATCAGGCACGGACATTGGGCAGGGACGCCTCTGTAACTTTGCCAAGTGACCCTTCTGTTCATACGCTTCTGTTTGGAGCAGGTACTCGTGGACCAACAGATACGTTTGTGACATTCAGGGATTTACATGGGTCAGCAGGCTTCCCAAAGTTATTTCACCAAAAAGCCACCGTGAGAATTCTTGTGTCTTAGCACGGTGTTGTGTTGCATCAGGAAGCAGGCAGCTCCGTAAACAAGGTCATGAACTTTCCGGATATCGTGAGACGACTAACATATATTAGCCTTTAGAAAAATCACTTGAGATTGAAGATAATTTGTGGAAAACAGCATTTTAATAGTAGGAGAGTGACATGGGGACACATGTCCGAATTTATTTCTCGTTTCCTGGAGTGTCTGTCCTGCAGGCTCGGCCAGGTCAGTCTGTACAGGGGGCCACGGCTGAAGGAACTGTGGCGAGCCCGCCGATGGCCTGAAGCCACGGCCACCAGTGTTGCCCGGGCGTTTCTTGCTGCCTGCAGGCTTCCAGGACGCTGTGGCAGAGGGAACGGCAGGTTTTCTCTCAGCCTTGTCTGTTTCGAGTTTACAGGTCCAGGTGGACTTGGGCAGCACCGCCTCGGTCCCCTTTTTTCTGCATCCTCCTTGGAGAAAGTAATCTCTAAAGTGTCTAAACACATTTCCAGTTTTATCAAGAGAGAAGGTCGCCTGTTATAGGGAGTGACTGGGAAGTTTGCTTTTCCAGCCCGGGACATGTTTCTGTTCCCTCTCTCACGACTCTCCGCTTGGCTGCCTTATTTCTCTGCAGACAGGCCGTGAGGAGTCCGTAATCCCCGTGGTCCTGCGTCTTCCGAGTGAGGGATGGGAATGTTTTCCAGTGCATTCAGTGTAATCCGTGTTGGCCCTTTGAGAGTTCAGTCGTTAATTCAGTATAAAATGAATTTTGTTTTTCTCTTCATATACTTGCTTTTAGATTTTTAAGATTCTAAAGTTTTTACCCTAGCATCTTTTAAATAGTATTTATGAAATAAATAGTTCGTTACATGTTACTGTTTTTTAAAAAGCCCAGTTACCTTTGTGTAAAAGAAAGCCCTGGAAAGATGTCTTTTGTTCTGAAACAGATCCTTTTATATGAGTAAAGCAGAATGAGGAAGAGCAAGTGTAAGCATAATTTAGATACGGCCAGATTTTAATGTGTAGTCACGATTTTAGTTGGGCTGCGCACAGTGTTTTTCTGAATCTTCCAATCAGCTGGCAGAATGAACACGCACTTGGGTTAGCTGTCCGCCGACTCGAGAAGCGACCGGGCTCCTACTCGGAGACAGTGCCAACACTTAACGGGTCACTTCGCGGTCTCCGAGAGGCTGTGATTGTGTACTTTGGTCGTTACGTTTAAAATAACTGATTTTTTTAATTCTTTTTTTTTCTCTTGAAAAGGCGTGATGCAGAGTTAAAGGCCTGAAGTATTTTTAGAGGAAAATTTAATAGAATATTCTAATAGGAGGTTTGCTCATCAACATAGAGTAAATACAATCAATTAAACATAATGGTGAAGTGTGAATGCGCTAAATTCTTAGAATTAACTCTGTGCTTTCTATTAAATGTATTTAGCTTAGGAGCAAACCCTGTGTGTAAAGATTTTATAGTGACATGATGATTGGTTTATTGACATAGCTGTCGCCGTTTCCATATTCTCACTGAGGTCAGTGTGGCAGCGACTGATGGTCTCGGGTTGAAGCTGCTCTGGGTTAGGACCTCCCCTTAATCCATCAGAGCCCTCGCGGTCCATGCAGAGAAGCTCATGGGCCCCGTGGAGGTGCCCGATGCTGGGGAGGCGAGGAGTGCGCGTCCCTGTCCCTGAATGCGCTGAGGGGCTGGCGGGGCGGGGCAGGAGGGCATGCACTTGGCCCGTTGTAGGGAGGGGCTGCAGCTGGCCAGCCTTGCCGGGAGCTTCCTTAGGGGACACCACCCAGTTGTCCATGGGAAGAAGTCCGTTTTTGTGAGTTAAGTACATCTGACTGCCTTTCTTCCTTTTTGTGTTTTCTGGAATAAGCTGAAAACCTGGTCTTTCTGAACTAATGGATTTTCTAAATCTAACATTTAAATAGCCATAATATCCCTGTAGTTCCAAGTTCAAAACGCCTGAAAGCCGCTGTGAGCAGGGTTCCCACAGACAGCTTTCACCTTGGCTGCAGCCGGCCCGGCTTCCCCGCAGAGCGTGGCCTGGCAGTTGGGAAAACGGTGCCCTCACACCTGGTGGCTGTTGTCTTAAGTTCGTGTTGGGAAATGGGTCGACACACGCATCTGTTCTCGCCCAGATGTGTAGGGGTCACAGCGAGCAGCGCTGACACCGCCAGCCTCCACACGCTCCCCCTCGTCAGATGCCAGTCACACGGGGGGGGGGGGGGGGCGGTGCGGGCTTGGCACCCCCACGGGTGACCAACCAGCTGAGACTCGGGGTTCCCACAGCCCGCTCCTGGGGCTCCATCCTTTGCCAGAGCTGCTCCCGCACTTTTTAGCGGCTTATTACGTAATGAAGAGCATGACAGACGCAGATGAACAGCCAGGCGAAGAGCCACACAGGGTGCGGTGCACAGGGTCCCGAGTGTAGGGGCTGCTGTCCCCGTGGAGTTGGGGTGGGCCACCTGCCAGGATGTGGAAGCTCCCCGAGGCCTGGAGGGTGGGGGTGGGGCTGCAGGCTCCAGGCTTCACTCTGGCCGGTCTCCGGTGACCAGCCCCGTCCAGAGCCCACCTAGAGTTGCCTCATTAGAAAAAGAGATGCCGCTGTCTGTCTGGAAAGTGCA